TGGTGTATACCCAAAGCGGACAATATTCTGTAGCGGGTGAGCTGGGCTGTTACAGTGTACAATTGATGGTTTTGTCCTGTGTATAATCCCTCATTCACTTATCATGTATCATCCACCAAACATTCTTGAGAAAGTGCGCCCTCTGTAAGTAACCTCTCAATTGGTCTCCATAAGGACCTCTCAACCTCAGGAGCAGAATTGCTCGCTGTCGTAGCAACCGAAAGCGGCCAGATCTAGTCGGGGGACGGGCGACATCTCCGCCTGCAAAAGAGCTCCGCCTCTTGACGATCCACCAAAAAAAGGGCCACAAAGCACAAGGGGCCCGTCACCGGAGCCTAGAGCCGGCCCGCTAGGGGACGGCTCCCGGAAATCAGAAGATTAAACGGCGACGATTAGGTAAAAAAAGAGAGGAAACAGAGGGGACGATAAAATCACAAAACAATTTAACTTATATTGATAAAGTTGTTAATAACTAATATACGTAGAAGTTTGTACTTTACTTTCAGGAACAAACCTTCTCACATATCTTCTACAAACTAAGCATACTCACTGAAGTGGCTATATTAAGGCTATATTTGGTAAAATTAGCTGATAAACTAGCTTATAGCTTATCCGTAATTTTTGAACTTATTTATAAGTTATGATTTATAGTTGAAAAGTTAGTTTATATGATAAAAATGTTTGGTAAAATTAACTGACAAGCTAGCTGAAATAAAAATTTCAACGAGCTTATTTGAAAAGCTACCCAATGAATTTATCAAATAAGCTCGAGTTTAAAAAAAAAAATCGTCCTACCAAACGAGTTTATTTGAATACAGAGAGCTTATAAGCCTAACTAAATAAGTTATAAGTTAGCTTATTTATCTAGCAAATATGGCCTAAACATGATGTACCACTCAAATCAAAATATTCTTTTTTTTTTTTTTTTCATTTTAAGGAATTGGTTAATCGTCGTAGATCTTAATCGGGGAAAGAAGGTGACAAAAGAATACAGTGATTGTAACTAATAATTGCAATAAATTGTTGAGTTATATCTCAACCAAAATCTTGATCTAACTAGAGTACAAGGATGAGACCAAAATATGGAAAGATAGAATAGAGTTTGTATTCTATAAACATGAATATTTATCCTATAAATTAATTTGAACATATATTACTATGAAAAATAAATTAAGTGGTGTATCCAAGAAAAGTCATAGAATGAGCAACCTTTATTTTACTCCATAAGAAATCATGGAGATTTTACCTAACAAAAAAATCAAACATAATAATAATAATAATAATAATAATAATAATAATAATAAAATATTAAGTGAAAATGCACATATAACTGAAAGTTCAACATCATAAAAAAAAAGTAAATACAACAATACCTCTTTAATTAATTAATGAATAGCAAATAAATGGTAGAAAAAGTATCATAGATATTGATGGTTGGTGGGAGATGGAGATGAGCCGGGAAAGAGGCAGTGCAGGGA